GGCATGTTTTGACGTCAACTGCTACTCTCAAGATAAGGATTATATGCGGCTTGTTCGACCAGGTTTGTTGTGTGAATGATGTAAAGTAATGATTACCAACTGTAAACAATAGATGACATATTCAGGTCTCTAGAGCCTGTTTTCTGCAATCGAACGAGAGAATCGGATTGGTAATCCTGTGTGTGGTTGGNGTTGATTAGACGAGAGTTTGACTCGGATTACGCATGTACCCAGTCGCACAACTGGAGTGGTGCGCCATGCAGAGCAGGAGCCAAATCACGTGACAGGACTGCAACACAGTCAACGATTTAACCGACTCGGCACACGCAACACGTGACCGAATTGTGACCAAAACACCACGGGTGTGATCTATGGGGGTAAAACAAAAACCACGATCAATCCTCTGTAGGAGTTGATTCATTAGAAAGAGTGAGACAGCCGCGGTAAAGTTCGATGAGTCTGAATCACACGGACAGGAATCCACGCCAAATCGGATGAAAAACGGAAAAGTACAAAAAACTTGAGAATAATTGAATAAAAACCGCTAGGACGGAAGTAAAACAGTGAATGATAACGGACAAAGTGTGATCTCTCTCACTGTGGTGCAGCATACCAATTTGTTGATGCTTGTAGATGAAATCTGATTTCTCCGCATTTCAGTAATTCACCGCATTTTGTCATATCAAGGCATCTGATAAATATTAAAACATTTTACGACAATGATTGGAGATTTGGGTGGAAATAGCCTGATCGAATGAGGCTGAGACCGACCATTTCGGGTCCATGAACTGTCCACTTTCGACGGTCGATCGACTCCGTCATGCCATTGAATGAGTGCTACGATCCCAAGTAAAGTACTATAGAGATAAAAAAGCTTTCTGAAGGAGGTTTATATCAATTTTCACCATGTATTCTGATAAACATTGTAAGACAGATATTCTGTAAACCTTTAATCTGTAGCCTATTTGCGTGGCACTGTAAGCGATAAACTTGTACGGTTTAGGTTTTGAAGTAGTATACAAACCAATTTCCAGTGCGCATGACATTGTGTTCTATTCGTTACGCTTTGGATTAAGTTTTGCACAAAGCACATCTTCATTCAATTAAGCTAATGACCGAAAAACAGGAGCACAATCCATTTCATATGTGCATTCGGACGGGTTTTCACCAGTTAAAAAGTAGTAAATGAATCGAGTGGGGTCATTGTAAGTGTGAACTTCCTGTACGATATTTATATGCAACAAAGCTGCTTGGTTTGGAACACGGGCACAGCGGTTATCGATGGCCTTGAATAAGCTCATCTGATACAATCCTGTCAAGTATGAAATAACGGGAAAGTCCTCCGAAATGACCCGGGACTAAATCCCAGTGGAGGTATACGAAGCACTTCATAAAGGTATAAATATATATATATATATATGCATGTTTCGCAAGTGACAATATCTGTAGCTAAGGTTGCAATTTTAGGAGAGAATGGAGGCGTGCACTAAGTTATAAAATGTTTACCGTAACGTTTCGATCCAAACTAGGACTCGTTGTCAAACGTAAATGAAATGAATGAGATAATGGGATTACCGTCTTTCCGCGCTCCTGTCTGCTGTTTGTACGTCTATCAGTCCACCAATCATCACGGGTTTTGCGAGTGTGACATAATGTTTGTTTATCTCGACCTGTCCATTGAACGAATTGACCGAGTGCAGAGCTTCGGGGATTAATCGTTCCCTCTTCCTCTTAGCTCGCTCCACAACCTTTGCGTTATCGATTGCGATCGGACAGGTCCGTGTGCAGTGGTTCCAGATTTGTGACCTCGTGACAGCGCGTCGGAGGGCAAGCTTGTGTTCGTGTAGGCCAGTGTGTAGTTGTTTGCCTGTCTCACCTATGTAGTGTTGATTGCAGCCCAGGGATTGCGTAGATCACTTCTGATCATTCATGCTGTTCGACTTAATCCTTGCCGTTGAAAAGAAACGATCGTACGGTTGCTGCTGGTTTATGAGCGATCTTGATTCCCAACGGTTGGAGTATTCATTCGGTGGCTTCCGACTTGCCGCGTATGTAAGGCAGCGTTATCCATGTTCCTTCGTTTGGTTTTTGCCTATGAGGTACGCTTTGATAAAACTCCTGAGATATGCGTTTGATAGGAACAGTTGAAAGAGTCCACTTCTCTCTCTTGTTCTTAACTCCGGTGTGCTACAATGTGTGTTTACTCGGCGGAATAGAGTTCGCACACAACTTTTTAGGTGGCACAAATGACTGTTGCTGTTGTGATTGAGGATGCGATCTGTCGTGGTCGGTTTTCGGTAGACCGTGGTTTCGATTCTTCCGTCAGGTTACCTCATGAGAAGGATGTCGAGGAAGGAGAGGTTTCCATCTTTTTCTTCTTCTCAT